ATTAGTGAATGCTACGGATCCCCTATAGTCTTACAACACTTTCACCCTTGCTTCTGTCCTGGATACCTGGATGTTTCTCCCCCACCTAGATTCAACTAATTCCGCCTGACGCACAAAAATTGAAGGATTTCCAATCCTCATTACGTCCCAATGTTCACCTTGCTGACGGCCGGTGCTTACCAAAGCTAGAACACCATGAATAACCCTTCCAAAACAACATAATTTTCAAAAACCAACTAACACATATTGTGTCCCAACACTGCCAATGACTCTAGCTGTTCACACTAATATCACTTTCAGATCTCAGAGTCCAAAGGTCGGATGCTCCTACAATACTTCAACGAAAACTTCTCTCTCTCTCTCTCTCTCTCTCTCTCTCTCTCTCCTTTGGCAAATTTGAGGGGTTTTGCTAATATAATTACTAAGGTTACTGAAACCTAGTCACAATCCCCTCGTACGAACCCTTGAACCAACTCCGACCATACTCAAAATGACACTCGAATGCTGGAAAATCCACGATATATCGGGAGATGATCCCGTTCTATTCCACCCAAATTCACAATATGCAGATGGCATATAGCTCTTCTTGAAGGTGTGTATAACTCAACCACCACCAGAGATAACATCCAAGGATACACCTATGCATGCTGATGAAAAATGACTACTACTAGATACCGGCAGCGCTGGTGGGGAGGCAAAAGGCACATACCTTGCACCCTTGCCTGCAGGAGTTCCAATCTCCCAATCTGACCCTGCAAAGTGGGGTCCCTTTCTTCTAGGCTATGGCTCTACCCTCTCGTCCAATGGTGATCCTCAAAATAGCCAGAGCGGATGCACTTACCGCTCCTCTCTAATTCTTGAACGGTCGACCTCCTTTCCACCCATCTGATCGAAAAAAATATAACGGGCTTCCCCCTGTGGGTAATCCCTGAAAACGTGTCAAAACCTGCTACACCCATAGCAACCCAAATCACTGAACAAATTCCAACAACGACTCGGAGCAATCATGGTACACACGGATTCCGCTCCACGAGGTACATCCGTCTGAAGATCTCTCAAAGATTCATCAACATGCTGAATGACATCTGACAACCCTTGCTAACCTAGAAAAAAGCAGAAAATCAACCTGCAATCCAACTTATCACAATTCCCAAGCGATAAAAATACTCGATATCCACCGGAAATGGCCGAAGATAGCATATCCACAACATCCGAGGGAATCCTGACCACCTTCTGTGATACCTCGACCACCCTGAGAACTTGATGAAACACCTTATTCCGATCCCAGTGACAACCTAAACCCTTGGAACGAAACTTCACCATGCAGTTTCTGCAAACATTACACTGGATCTGACCCTGCTGGCCTCTCAAATGTTGATCCAAACTCTTAGGTCTCCGCCCGAGACCCTCCAATAAATTCACCTGACCTGAACCTCTCTCATTGAGGTACTCCTAATCAATCTCCCATCCTTGGTTCTGAGATCCATACCATTCAGGGTCTCGCACCCTGACACCCTCACCGGTTTAATCGCCAACGGCTGAACTATAGTAGTTGGACAAATCTCTGCTCTAATCTGGCTATAAACTATTCCCAAGACATAGTTTCCAATCCCAAGGCGCAATAAATCACACAATCAACCCTTGCCACCTAATACAAGAGATCCAAGGCGAACTCGAAATCCTGGCAGTCATTCCACTAACTGGTCACCACCAAAGCTGGGACCAAGCCCCAGTCCTACCCATGTGCGCACATCCTCAATATACAAAATAGCTTTTCCCACGAATAAGGCATAACCAATAATTCTCCTTCCCATAAGCTTCTCAACTTCTCCAAGACTCTCACTGATTCGAGTATGGATCCTGTGCTTTCAGTAGTACGGGCCCAATAGTACATTCCACACCTATCCATACTTTCCTCAATAATCCTCATGAATCCTCTAAGTCACATACTCCACCGGTATACTAAATGCCTGCTAAACGGCAACACAATATCCCTCGAAGCACCTCCTAGGCTTTCATAGGTTCCCCAACCTCACTGAATCACCCCACTAACTTACTGGAGCATATCCTAGGCTCTCCTAGGTTCCCAACCCACCCAGTGCTTAGCCGCTGAAAGATCCCTAATAATGTCAACTAGCTACCTTATGAATATAGCCACATGCAACAGAGATTAGATAATCCTTTGAGTAACAGACTTAATCCTAGAACAGTTAGACTCAAACAAGAGATGCGCAATATGGCCAAATCCATCACTTTGAGATTATCCGGCCTGTGCCACATGTGACCTAGCATATTCACTTGGTAGCTAGCTCACATTGCTAGAAGTCCCACAAATCACAAAGCAAGCAGCATTCAGACAACGGAAAACTAACCAACATATTCCAATCAAACAATTCTATATATACATCCAATTCACAATCAGGTAACCCATGTCACTAATCTCATCCTTGGCTTACCTTTGGGTAATCTCTGATCCACAAAATATCATAGAACACTCGGCCCATATACCACGACCCATGTTGTCCACAACCACCTTCGTTGTCGGCTGCCTTATGCATGCAAATTATACACAAAACATGATCTAATAGACTGTCAAATAATAGACTCTACCCTAGAACCACAACCAGACAAGGAACAGAAAATAAGGTCAATCAATTATTCTAAGGCTATAAGATCCTAACCGTATACAATTTTGAAAGCATACACATAGCAATTACAAATACCATTTATCATTCTCATTCCAGCATGGCATTGAATATTCTCATGGCTACAAGCACCACATATCAGGCCAAACTATTTTTGAATACTCAACACTAGAACACAAGTTTACTAGCTCATACAACATTTACTAGCATCTCCCATAGCCCTAACTAGCATGTGATTCACATATTCATAATCAATCATAATAGGTAGCAAATGTGGGTATTCTGGGGAAACTTACTTGAGCTTGATTGATTACATGCACCATACCCTTTCTTGTCTTAGAAAACCTTTTCCTTGAAAGCATTTTCTTTTAAATTTTTTTGAAAGCTTTACAGATCCTCAGTTTGAGTTTAGACACACCCGGAGGTTTCCCTAAATCCCTCAAACCAAGGCTCTGATACCAACTTGTAACGACCGAAAAATCAACTGTGAAAATTTCATTTTTAATATTGCTAAAACACTGATACCATTTATTTCAAACATTTCAAATCATCATCAAGCAAAACAGTTATCATAGTTTATCCCAAAATCATTTATTGCGGAAATCATTGGTGTGTGCACTGCGATCAATTCGAGCTCTTTATTTCCAAATCGATGATACTTGAAACCAAAAATGTAAACCGTAAGCACAAAGTTTAGTGAGTCCCCCAGAGTATACCCACACACAATCCACATAACACATATCATATTAGCTGTAACAGCTACATAAACCATGTCAATCACATATCCATATCAATCACATAGTCTTACATATAAACATATAAGGATGTTGTGGGCTCATCCCCATGGTCTTACTCCAGGATGCCATGGGCTCCCCATATGGTCTTACACCTAAGTGTCATGGGCTCTCCCATGGTCTTTAATAGGAAATCCATGGGCTCTCCCCATGGTCTTACACTCGGTTGCCATGGGCTCTCCCATGGTCTTTTAATAGGAAAGCCATGGATTCTCTATATGGTCTTACATCCAGGTGTCATGGGCTCTCTGATGGTCTTCCATGCATATATTACAAAGACAATTAGAAGGTCCATCACTACCCCGCTTAGTAGATTTCAAGGTTCATCTCTACCTCACTTAGTAGATTTCCTAGTAAGATTTTCTAGTTAAAATTTTACTCATCAATTTTATTCAATGATAACACCTCGATTATCATCATAATTATCTTAAATAGAGATTAGTATGATGTTCATCCTGCTTGTCTTAAGTGATGTCCATTATTAGTGACTGCATGAGAGATGATAATATTAATGTTTATCATGTTTGCGGTCATTTATTTTAAACTAGTTTATAACCCGTGAAAACCACGATTATAAAATTAATTAAATTTTCATATTAAACTCAAAATTATTAATTAATTATTTCCAAAAATATTAATTAAGAGATATTTTTTTAGTTATATAAAATTATAATCGTTGATTTAAATAAATACATAAAATTATATAACTTTATAATATATATTAATTTTATTTTATTTTTCAATCTAATGTTATTAATTTAATGTAATTTTTTTTGAACCGGAAAATACAAATATAATAATCTATTCTTAAACTAACACCTAATTCCACTTATGTCCACCACGGGACTTGAACCCTCGATTTCAAGGAGAAAGGACACCACCTAATACCGTTGGGCTAGAAGCCCTTTGATATTAATTTAATGTAATTAGAATGTAAAATTTAAAATATAAAATTTTAAATGAAAAATCAATTATTAATTTAATGTAATTAGAATGAGAAATTTTAAATTTTGAAAAGAAGAAGTAATAGATTGACATATGACATGATACGTGACATATAATATTAATGAAGATTTCTAATATTTTGATACTTGTAAATAGGAGAATAAACTTATTCATTTATTAGAATAGGGATTCTAGAAAAAAAATGGTTTTTGTGGTGATATATGTATTATAAAATGTAATATTTGAAATTTATGTATAGTAATATATGTATTATAAAATGATATACATATAATAATAAACTTGAAATGATTAAAAAAGGATGTGGGATGAGTTTATTGAATATCGCTAAAAGTTAATATATTGTAGATGTTTAACGATGAAATTCTACAGAAAGTAAAATTCGATTCAATAATCTATTAATTAATTTTAAAAAGTTGAATGAATTGAATGTATTTGAATTTGTATTTTTTGACTATTATCAGCGATTGAAAATCAAGAATGCTTTCACACTCACACATGACCTTAATGCTTATCAGTATATAATCATATATGTGGAAATGCATTGCAAATCCTAGTCCTAGTTCATATTTGTAAGTACATCTTCTTTCCTACCGGTATGGAAGCTGAATGCTCCTCATCCTTAGCCGTGAATCAAGAATTCCGTCAACTTACAATTTCCGAGATTCATTTTGTAACCAAAAACTTCGATGAGTCATTGGTAATCGGGCGTGGGGGTTTTGGAATGGTCTACAAAGGAACCATCACAAATGGAGCAACTCATTTAGTTGCTGCCATCAAGCGGCTGGATTCAACTTCTAAACAAGGAGAAACAGAGTTTTGGGCTGAAGTTGAGATTCTCACTAAGTTAAGACACTGCCACTTAGTGCCTCTGATTGGTTATTGCAACGATGGGGAAGAAATGATCCTCGCATACGAATATATGCCCCATGGAACACTTGAAGATCATCTCCACAACTTGCAGACTCCTTTATCTTGGGTGCAACGACTCAAAATATGTATAGGGGTGGCTCGTGGGTTAGATTACCTTCACACTGGTACGGGTATAAAGCATGGAGTTATACATCGCGATGTGAAGAGCTCTAATATATTGTTAGATGAAAGCTGGAATGCTAAGATTTCAGATTTTGGTTTGTCCAAACTAGGTCCAATAAATCAACCTTCCACTTATGTAAATACTGTTGTGAAAGGAACTTTTGGATACCTAGATCCAGACTACTTCACAACAGGTAGGTTGACTAGAAAGTCTGATGTGTATGCCTTTGGGGTAGTTTTATTTGAAGTCCTTAGTGGAAAACGAGCAGTGGATAAAAGTCTTGGAGAGGAGCATTGGGGTTTAGCAAGATGGGCTCAAGAATCTGTCAAAGAAGATAGGCTTGAGCAAATAGTTGATTTAAATATAAAGGACGAAATCATGCGTAAATGTTTAAAGGAGTTTGCACGTATTGCAGATTGGTGTTTGGATAGAAATCCCAAGCAACGGCCTTCAATGGCTGAAGTTGTGGTTTGTCTTGAGTCTGTGCTAGCGTTACAGGAGAAAGCCGGTAACAAGTTGCACCATGCACGCATGAGAAAATTTGGTAATAAACCGCTAACGTTTTCATTTTAGTCCAACGTGGAAAAATCTAGTATTATGTTTTTTCTTCTAGTTTTCTTTGTTTTATCTCATGAAGAAGCACACAAACTGGTGGATTTATGCATACATACATTTATTGGAAGAACATATGTGCTTTCAGTCTTTTTTTTTTTTTTTTTTTGAACAACTGTGTTGTGTGTGTTACTTGTGTACCACCTCAGATCGTAGATTCATAGAGTACGTTAAAATCTTTGGACTCATAAAACAAAACTATTACGCAGGTTGGGCGCAAGTTGTTGCAGAGCTGGGTCCCATCTTGAATGCTAGCAGAAACTATTATACAGGTTGGGTTTGGAACGATTAACATAACTGCAACTGAAAAGTTCTTTGACAATAATAAAATGTTTGGTTTCCACTGTATAGAAAAATCAAAGTTGAAGTCTGAGATGATTAAAGAAAAGTTTGTCAACCAAATACAGCAAATTTATGATGAGAGCCAACTCGTCAAAATTGCAAAAGAACAGACGATGGATTCAAATTTACTCACACAGTCATTTGGGGTGGTATCTAAGAAACTGAGGAGAACCAAAGAAAAGCACCCTATTGTCAGGGACAGGACACAGTGGTACCAGGATCAAAACATTGAAGAGGACACTTCATAAGTGATAATCATATATTATGCTCGGAGGCGTGAAAATAGAAATTATGTAATAATGCCATTCCATCCATATATTAATTACTTTCCAAATTCACATTATTACATACTAGTTTGAAATCTAGGGTTCTTTGAGTCAATTTATGGTTTCTCTGTTTGTGAACTCTAAATCGGAAGATCTGTTCTTATCTTCTTAAGATCTCTGCAAAGTGTTTGTACTTTTTTTAGATATGTGGATTCCATATCTCAGTGTGAGGATCTAACATCGTTGCTCTTCGATCGGTTAATATCTGGATTGTTCTTAAATAAGTCCGCTAGAGAACAAATTTTATCACCAATTAACTCTAGTAGGGAACAAAACCAAGAGATCTTGTTTTCTTGATGTGCGAGATCCTGGTTTTCTTGAGTAAACCAATTATTTGTGATATATTTCTCATCTGCTTAACTTTTTTTTTTTGTTTTCCTCGACTCTATGATTGACTAGTCTTGGGCCCCAACATATTATGGTGACCTTCTGGACTATATAGTCGTTACAGTTGTATGTGTTGTCTTGAGTAATTGCTTCTTGATTCTTTGTGTTTCTTGAATGGCTGGTCCAACTAATGAATCAGATGACAGTGGAACGAAAAATGAGACTGTTAATTTTGATGATCCTTTGTATATTCACCAATCTGATATATTGTTACCACTATAGTTACTATTAAATTGACTGGTACTGAAAATTGTCATGTGTAGCGTAGTTCTATGATTAGGAGTCTTAAGGCTCGTAATAAATTACGGTTTGTCGATGGGTCTGTTTTGTAACATCCATAAAATTCATGAAATTTAAAACTTTTTCAACCATTCAAAATCCATTATTTATAACAAAATGTTTTCAAAATAGTGTCATATCAGAGTATCCCAGAAATCAAATCATAAAAATGGAAGAGGTGCATGATCAAGCCTTTTCCTTCCCGCGATCATTCGAAGTACATGAAACAAAATCCAAAACTATAAGCCTGAAGCTTAGCGAGTTCCCCCAAAATACCAACGCCATACAAATCATAACCACATCATAGCAAGTAAACATCATTCATATAGAGTCTACAGTAGACTGGATTGCCCTCACCGGGCGTACAGTTTATCTGGCCCACTCTCAAAACCTTCAGCATGTCTGGTCCGCCCATCCGAGCCTTCAGCCTGTCTGGACCGTTCTTTGGGCCTTCGGCCTGACTGATATGCCCTAATGGTTCTGCAGTCTATTTAGTCCGCCCTGGGTTTGTTGGCCTTCAGCACAAAGCAAGTCTGCCTCAACCCAACCCCACATACACAATCAACACATAATCATAAGCTAGCTAGCATGTACAACAGTCAAACCGATCTAACCAATCACTAATCATAACACTATCCTATATACCAGGATACTAACCTAACCAGTCACTAACATAGCATCATCTTATATACTAGGATACCGACCTAACAGGTCACTAACATAGCATATCATCAGGCAATAACCAGGATAACAATCCAAAAAGAAGGGACGATATTGGTGCCTTTGTCCCTGTCAGTATAGTGAGGAAAACTCACCTCACAATGTTGATCGGAACTGAAATATCAAACTCCTGAATCACGACTCCAAACACCAACACCTACAACCACCATTGATCACAGTCCATAAATTCCCAATTACCAAAATACCCTCAGAAGTCAAATTGGTCAACCATTAGTCAAAGTCAAAGTCAATCGGTCAAGGTCAACAGTCCATGTTGACCCAACTCATTGAGTGTAACTTACAGACTAGTCGAGTTCCTCCAGAACTCATAAAGTCGCGAAAACCCCTATCAACTCACTGAGTTACCAAGTAACTCATTGAGTCCATCAACATTCATAATTTCGGGAAACCCTAACCAACTCTTCGAGTCACCTTGCTAACTCGCCGAGTTCATGTAGAATCCAAAAAGCGGGAAGCCCTCGTCCAACTCGTCGAGTTCCTTCGGCTATTTCATATTCAACTCATTCCAGTCGAATTCATGGCTTCAAACTCCAGATCAAGCTTTCTAGGGTGAAGTTACCACGTAAGGTTGCTAACTTTACGTGCATGCAAGGTCTCAAAAGGCTTAAAACACCAAAACTTAGTCTAAAAGAAGTCTAGGGAATGGGGAAAGGCCAAAGCTTGAGACTTTATGTCAAAGAGGGCCTATAGGAGTCCAGATCTGAAGCCATGTCCTTGTGACAAGCTCAAACCCAAGAATGACCCCCATTTTGCACCAAAACGCCCATAAACTTGTATAAGAAGAGATCTAAGGAATTGAAAGCCAAGGTAAAGACTTTTTACCTCCAAATGGATGCCAACACGATGTAGATGTTGGATCTACAAGCTTCTTCCTGTTCCAAGCCTCCAAATCTTCAAGAAATGCACCAAATATACACTTTAAGCCTCAAACACACATAAAATATGGTTAGCTCGATTAGGGTTTACTCTCTGGATGTGAAAGGTGGTAAGGAGGCTGGAGGGGAGGACTTGAGGTCCTTTAAATAGTCTACAAACCCTAAAGATTAGGGTTTTCATAAATATCCTCAACTCGTTGAGTTGGGTCCTCCAACTCGTCGTGTAGGTTCCATAAATCACACGGCCTGATCAATCTCTACACGACGAGTTGGGGCCAACCAACTTGTTGAGTAGGTTCTGTAATGTGAGTTTAAAAGCTTTAAAGTTTATACCTAGGAGTTGGAATGTTACATGTTTTAAAAGATACTAGTGATGAAACTAAATCTTCTAAATGGGAACATGCTAATGATGGTGTGTCTTCTTGGATACTTGGTTCTTTGTCTTAATCAATATATTTTGTCCATGCCTATTTTGTGTCTATAGTAGAAATTTGGAATGAACTATTTGAAACATATAATAAGGTTGGTGGATATGTTCTCTTCAACATTCATAACACATTAACTCACTAACTCAAAATGGTTCTCTTTTGTCTGAATACGTTAATAAACTTTACTCTCTTTGGAAGGAATTTAATGGTGTTGCTAATCTTACTGAGTGTAAATACGAGGCTGCAACCAAATTCAGTGACCACTAAAAACTCATGAAACTCATGCAGTTCTTGAGTGGTCTTGATGATTCTTTTAATCAAGTCAAAAGTCATATTCTTTTAATGGATCCTTTACCTAATGTAAAATTTACTTGTTCTATTGAATCAAGAGAAGAATCTCGTCAAAAGAATGGGTCTCTTATTTCTTCCACTTCAAAGCTCAATCGTCTACTTTTAATAGTAGATTTAATGATACTAGGAGAAACCAAAAAATTAATCAAAATAGAATCAGGAATCAAAATCTACAATGCAAGAATTATGGTCTTAAAGGATATGTGTAACATCCCAAAATTTCTGAGTAAAAATTTCATTTTAAATGAGTCAAAACCATTAACTCATTATCCCGAAAGATGATTAAAATAAAAGTATTTTCAAAACATCAGAGTAAAATCATAAACAGTCGATGCAAAGTAAATCTCCAGGGGATGCAATGCGATCAAGCCAAATTCTTCCTTTTGAAACCAGAAGTACCTGAAACATTTTAAACATAAACTGTAAGCACAAAGCTTATTGAGTTCCCCAAAATACCACATATCATACATACATATATGGGGCCCTGTCCGACATCTATCGGGCCCTGCCCGATATTCATTGGGTCCCGCTTGGAATCGGTCCCACCCGGTATTCATCATGTGCCACCCGACATCGGGCCCCGCCTAGAAATACATATAAAGACATGCAAGAGTCACAGAGACAACTAGCACCCAATAACATAACAATAGGTCGGTATTAGTGTCTTTGACCCACAAATACTATGAAGAGAATTACCCAAACTACTCAAAAGAAGCCCAACAACTACCTCAACAACATAACATCCAATCTAATCTGCCTAAGGCTAAGTCGAAACAAATCCTTAGCCAAATACTCAATTCTACCAAGTTTGACCAAAAGTCAAACTGGTCAAAAAGTCAACGATCAGCTTAATCAGATTCAACGTCACGTCGTGATCATTCCTTGGTCATGTCATGAGAATGCAACGACAAAACAATCATGATTCTAGAAACCGACACATCGTAACACATCTAATGTCACGTCGCTACTTCTGGTCAGAAGGCCAAAATCTTCCTTAAGTGCTTAATCTCTTTAGAACAAGGGCCATAGTCTCATATCTAGACCCTAATAGCTTCATAATGGGTAAAATTTCCTACTTTATCCATTGGGATGGTCCAAACAACCAAGATCTAGTCTTTAAGTCTCGAAGGGACCAAGAATGCATCTTTCTCAGCTAAATCCATTAAGCCAAAGTCTCCAACCTTTAGATATGAACCAATGTAAAGTTTGAAAATCCATAAGGTATTATTTATTTATTTATTGTCTAAATCATATATGTTGTCTTGGGCTTGGTGGATTGGACCCTTTATGTGGGCTTAGTCAAGGCCGTACGCTGGGTGTAAGATTGGTGTACGCGGGGCGTAGGTGGATCAAGGGGAACGCGGAGCATGCACGTACGTGTTGCATACAAGGAAGTACGTGTAGCGTACATGTTCAGACCCAAAACCATAAATTCTAGGGTTCAAGCCCTATATAATTTCATTAAGTCCCAAGTGTTAGCCTCCCTATCAACCCCTATTATCCAGAAACCCTAATATCGAACCCTATAGCATTCTTGGTGTGTTCTTGACCTATTGGAGTGTATTTTTGGTAGTTTGGTGCCTTTGAAAGAAGAAGAAGTTGGTGATGAAGAGTTGTTGCAGTTTGAGCTTGTAGATCCAGAAGTTTGGCACCTTCTTGAGTTCCAAAAGGTATAAAGTCTCAATCTTGGTCTTTAAATGCTTTGATCTCTCTATATTATGATTTATGTCTTCTTAGTCCACAAATTTGGGTCTTAGAGTGTATGGATTACTTCAGACCCTTTGGGTTGTCCTTTCTGATGTTTTATTGGGTTTAGATTCATAAAAATGGAGCCTTGGTCACTAGTTCTCTTTCATTCATG